TAATAGTGGCCCACACCTCATCTTCCGAAAATTATGCTTCCAGATTTCGAGCCACTTGGTCTTGACCAATAGATTTAAACTAGCCCATCAGCTTTGACATACCCTTTCAGTTTTCAGTGAACAAATCTTTAAACTGCTTGAACACCTCCTGCTTCACCACAGTGGGATTCTCATGAAGCACCCCTTCGACTGTAATTGAGTTCAGTAAATTTCTATTTTGCCTACAAGAAGCGATGGTATGAAAATACCTGGTATTCTGATCCCCCTTCATGCTCCAGTCCATTCTAGACTTTTGAAGCCATAACCACTTATCCTTCTTCCTTAAAGACCACACCTCCTTCCTTATCTCCCTTCTTCTAATTACCTTTTCCTCTGTTAAGACTCTAGACTCAGCTAACAAGTCCATCTTGTGAAGTTCAACCTCAGCTTTTTTAAGTAAGTATGAAACATTACCAAACACCTCATTATTCCACTTCTTTAATTCCAACTTAAGATATCTAAGTTTCATTACCATGATAAACCCAACCCATCCAGAAACATTTGATCTGTCCCACAGCTGCTTGACTACATCGAGAAACTTTGGATGTAACGACCAAGCATTTACGAACCTAAATGGCTTTGGTCCCCAATTCCTTTCATCCTCCATCAATAACAGGGGGACAGTGGTTAGACACATCCCTTGGAAGTTCCCACAGCTTAAACTTGAACTTGCTCAGCCATTTTGGTGCTAAGAGAATTCTATCTATTCTGCTCCATCTACCCACATCTTCTGAATTACTCCATGAGAATTGTCTCCTATGCATTGGAACATCATAAAAAGCTAACCGCTCAATGAACTCATTAAATTCTACCATCCCTCTATTCCTTCTTGTACACCATTTTCTTTTCCCTAAATTTCTAATCTCATTAAAATCTCCCCCTACACACCAAGGATCTGTAAAGCCTACTTTCAAGCTAGAAATTACATTCCACACTTGCCTTCTACTTGCTGCATCATTAGGCGCATAAATATTGTTCAATACACACCTAAAGTTTGGAAACAATGTACCTGACAGCAAGATGAACTTTCTTGATCCACATCACTGAGACAATGCAAACATAGAAGGCTTCTAAACACATAACAAACCACCAGCCGAACCTTCAGCATCCACAAACATATATTCCATTTCATCCTCATGCCAAATCGATCTCACCAAATCATCTGACATACCTTCTTTCTTCGTCTCTTGAAAAAAAGCACAATCAATTTTTCTTTCTGTAAGTAATGCCCTGATTCGCCTTCACTTCTCCGGCCTTTCAAATCCCCTTACATTCCAAGACAATAACTTCATTGGCAACATAGAAATGAACACCCATATCACCCAAATACATTGCTCAGACTAGACCAGCTTCACCCCTTTGAGCAACCCTCTTTACATCATCCTTTTCCAACTCCACAATTCTTTGTAAAACTTCATTTTCTTCCCTTTAAAACTGATGCCCAAAGATTTTCCTACTTTCATCGTCTTCTTTGCTTCCTAAATAACTTGATCATCACACCGATCTTCCATACCAACCGAGCTTGATCTAGCTATAACAGCCGCAGCGACTCTGAACGCAGGACCTTTATGCCACACTCCTTTAGAAGAAGAGCCTCCAATTCTACCTCCCTTCCCTTCCTTTCGCAATAGCTTACCTCTTCTTCCCTCCAATCCAGGTGCAAGGGCTTTTTTCTTTCCTAAACGCCTGCAATTCTGAGAAATTGCCATTCTATGATTAGCACTAAAATCCACTCCCATCGTATAGACTTTTCTTGTGAAGATGATGATGGCTTTTGATTATGATCCTGGGCCACACTCTTGCCATTATCTAGTCTGCCCCAACTCACAACTTCTGGGTTGGGCCTGGATACACCCTTAGTGTTTTGGGCCTCCTCTAATATTGCTGGAATACGAATCCCAGGCCTTTCAATCCCAGACCCACTAATACTTTTCATAAACCCAGGCGTAACAATTTCTTCATCATCCCCCACACTCTCGTTGCTACCTCTCTGGTTAACCGTTGCATTAATACTGACTTTTCCACTTTTGCATGCTTCTGCCACTTTCCCATAGTTGAAATAATAGTTTCTCCCACTATAGACAGAGATGAACCGTCCACCGCACACTCTCCTTTACTTGCTATACTATTCGCCACGTCATCCTTCTGCAAATCTGCCATGTCAGATCTGCCATCTCATCATGTTCTGCCATTTCATATTGTAACCAGTAATGCTAGGTATTATGAAAAGTTTTTCATGAAACTGATCATGAAAGATTTGTGACCTTTGGATTACACTTAAAATAAAGCACCACACACTAATCAAGGTAATCTAAGGGTCACGGATTTTTCATGATCATTTTCATGAAAAAATTTTCATGATCCCTAACATTTCTCTATTGTAACTCACCTTCCACCTCAGCCACATCCTCTTCTACTCGAACACCATTGCTACCATACATACTGTTTGAGTTACAACTTTCATGAAGAGGACACTTACAAGCTTCTGTAATAATTTTTAACACCGTAACGTATTCCTCACAAACTCTAACTGGATAGCTTCAACCTTAGCACATCACCTGAACTACTGTGTTGATCTACCCCATAAAATTTGTAGCAATTTTGACTGTACCACACTTGAAGGATAGTTGGTTTGTTGTCTCCTCATCCAACCGAATTACCTCGCCCTACAACCTCCCAATTTTACTGAAGGTATCTGAAGTCTATAGATTGAGTGGGACTCCATAACAACTCAGCCATACTCCTCTTTCTTGCTCTATGTGCCCGACCTTCTTCCACTCCGAAATTAATTCACACCATTCGTTCCAGCAGTCCTCTAATAATGGTGCATTTACCTTCTTAGCATCAGCTGAGTTAAATGACACCACTGCCATTCTTCCGCCTCCCCTCCTAACCCGAATATCTGTTGTTCCCTTTTCCATGACTGCTTTCTAAAAGGCTGAGAATGTGTAGTAACTTTTCAACTTAAAAATAAAGCTATCATAGAGCCATCCATTCCCTACCTCCTGAACTACAACCGTGTGACCCACAATGTCCTTACCAGCTCCCAACTGAACTGCTTTAGCATACAACCTGTATCCTATATTTGGTTAAACTTTCCTCCCAAGCTCCACCTAGAACCTTCCTTCTCTCTTCCAATTCCTTTCCCAATTTGCGTATCTTGGCTAACTCCCTTAACACCTGATGCTTCCTTTTGGAACTCTGCTCAAGCTTTGTCATCACACCACAACCCATTCGCTTTTTGGATTGTCATTTTAGTAGCTACAGGACAATCATATCTGACATATCCAAACCTTGACCGCGTAGTTTTCCTTAACTTACTTGGAATGAAAACATCTCTAACAATCCCAAACTTCATGAACAGAGTATGGAGCCTCTTCGGGCTCATGGATGAAGGAATATTGTCCACAAAGATTGTATAAACACCATATCTGCCACCATCAGACCTTCGAGATTGCTTACCCCCACCATACAGCACCGGCTTCCATGCTCCTCCAGCTTTTTTCATCACTAGATCTCTCTCTCCCCCCCTCTGTTTAGCATGTTTGGTGTTGTATATATATATATATATATATCTCTGTCTAGTGTGATTACAACCATATAATAAATACATATAAAAATCATAAATTTTACATACACAATTAATCAAAATAATTAAAATTAATTTATCATCTACATGTAAATACAAAATCAAACTAATATCAAATAAATAAATAAAAATAACAAATTAAACATAAATCAAAGGAAATGACTTTTACACTCACAATATATTTTTTGAAAATCAAAAAATTATTTAAAGAATTAATGAATCCACCAAAGTAAAACCTAACTCTTTTTTTTCTTCTTCTTCCTCATCTCTTCTTTCCGCCGTCTCTCTGTTCTCTCTCAATTTCTTTGATTAATCTCTCTCTCTCTCTCTCTCTCTCTCTCTCTCTCTCTCTCTCTCTCACTTTCTTTGTTTAATCTCTCTCTCTCTCTCTCTCTCTCTCTCTCTCTCTCTCTCCTGCGCTGCTGCTACTATTATAAATTGTATAGGCAACCTAGAGGGTTCCTATATATATATATATATATATATAAACAAAAAGGATATAAATTATTATTATACAAATATAACATATATAAATATAAATGTAAATATGATATATATTTTATCAATATAACATTCTTTTTATTTTTATAAACAATATAAATATATCAATATTCAGTTTAATTACATATAATTAAATATCGCATTAAATTCTCATGTAACCACACAATTAATAAAGTCCAAAATAAAATAAAATAATAATAATAAATAATGATTTACAAAAAATTAAGGTCGCTACAGTTACTGAGATTATTCAAGAAGTGGGAAGCTTAAGGTTGAGTTTAGATTTAGATTTGAAGAGAAATTTGTGGAGAGAACAAAAAAAAAAATTGAGAGAAATGGAGAAATTAAATGAATGAAAATATTCTAAAATTTTCTCTTATTTTTTTTTTTTCTTCTTCTTTCCATCCAATATGAATTCTAAATCTAAACACAACTTATATGTTCGTATATACATAAAATAAAATAAAATAAATTATTAATCAAAATTGGGCTCTCATTAATTTTTTTTACCTTAGGTCTCAAATAGGCTTTAGCTGCCTTTGGTTCACTACTAAAAAAATCACTTTTTGCGACCGCTATAAACTGTCGCAAATAATAAAAAACAGTCGCAAAAGACTTTTTGCGACGGCCCATGCGACGGCAAATGGGGGTCGCGAATATGGGGTGGCAAATACTTTTTGCGACGGCAAAACAACGGTCGCAAATTATTTGCAACCACCTAAACTACTTATGGCGACCGCTATTTTGCCGTCGCAAAAAACAAAGAAAAACACTAACATGATCTTTGGCGACCATCTTGTTACCGTCGCAAAAAATTAAAAATAAAAATAAAAATAAATAAATGAAAGTGTAGCGTTAAGCACTCTAGGAATAACAATGACAAGAATTCAGACAGTATAGCATTATAGTTTTATTGAACATTCTATTTGAGTCTCAAAATTTGAGCTACATGTAAAAGTTATTACAACTAAAAACTTGAAAAAAGTTCTTTTATGAAAAAAATACAATCCAGAACTGGCCAATCTTCTCATCAATTTTCTTGCTCGGGTGTTTCTCCACTCTATCAATGAACTGGCATAACACCTTGCACCCATATTCATCAAAATCATTTCAGCAAACACTTCCACTAATGCTTTGGCAACCTATAATTGATGCCAACCAAAATGTCACAAGCAACAAAGATGAATTATTTCACTATAAAGGTGAGAGCAGAAGTCCTTCCAGATTCATGGGGTTAATTTTTGGAGCGCATGTGCATGTGTAAGCAAGCACACACATAATTATTCTATGTCAGATGAACATAAGAAAGACTAGAAAATATAACCAAAATTCTGGTTATCAGAACAAAAACAAGTGAAACAAGAGGGATTGCGGGAACTATAATATGTATAATAGAACTACAAGTGTAATCTATTGCCAAATTAAAAAAACCAACCTTTATTGGGTTGATCCTCATTTCCCTCAGAAATTCCAAGTTATCAACCTGAAAGCTAAGGAACTTCCTGTTGCCAAATTAAAACAAGGTTTTAATTCGCTTCCAAACACCAACTCTAACGTTAGTATTGGTCATGTTAAACAATCTCTCCATGCAAAGTACAAAGATGTAAGGAGATAAGGGGGTCTCAAAAAAAATTAAATAACTACTGGTATGACCATCATCAAGACAATCATTCTTGAATATGACCCGCTTCTAGTAATTGATCAATAAGGGAATTTGAATTTTGCTACTCAGATGGATCGAAAAAATTTAATGTTAAATTTGATAATAGCTAAGCCGTAAAATCTATGAACTCCAAATGTGGAACAAGTGTTAGTATAGTAAATGATGGTCATGGATCACCACAGCTGAACTCAATCTGCAAGTGGCAATTAAACAAAGACTTATAGATGCAACCAAGTTTAAAAAGCAACAAATTCGAAAGGCTTTGATTTCATGTTAGGCAATAAGTCTGTGTTACCATTGATGGGGATAAAGGCAGCTGCACTAAAATATTGTATAGACTAACAATAGTGCCCATTGCTATCACTTTTGGAATCAAATTTTCAGCAAACATGGCCACTATTTTTTGGGTCAATCAGCATACAGAACTTGGCTCTCTCTCGGTATTCGGTTCATAGGCCTGCAGCCCAATCAAATTTTCAAGGCCTCTTGAGGTGTCATTTAGATGAGCCAAGCCCCTAAAAAATGAAGGATTATAACTCCAGTCTTATCTCATTCGTATTTTGAATATCTTCTTCAAAGTGAGAGTCTAGTGAGAGTCTAGTGAGAGAGACAGTGAGATTTGAGCGAGAGAGTCGAGCGAGAGACATTTTGAGAGAGAGAGAGAGTTCAGATTTGAGCAATAAGGGGAAAAAAGGGGGACGGGTCAAGTTTTTTTAATGATTTGGGGGTTTTTTATTTTTTTATTTTTAAGAACACGGTTGGGTCAATTAAAAAGAGATTTTTTGCGACCGCAAAACAAACGGTCGCAAAAAAATAGACGCAGAAAGTCATATTTCTAGTAGTGGTTACTTGGATTTATATGCAATTTGTTTATTTTAATTCTCAATCTTTTAATTTTTTCATTTTAGTCTTCAAAATACAGGATCTATTACACTTTAATCACTGACATGAGCGCCTTTCAAAATCAATAATTGGATAAGAAATATTTTTGAAATTTTACACTACCTTAGCAAAATTGAAAGGATAGTTAAACACTTACCCACTCTAGTGCCTCACAATATTTTTTCTCACACCCTTTAGACCATCTTCATGGTTCATTAAATCCATCATCAAATTTAAATTTGATAGAAAAACTTAGTTTCTACTCCTCCAACGGTTCATCAAATCCTTCAACAAATCTAGGATTTCTTAAATCTTTCATCAAATTGAGAATCGATGTGCTTTTCATCAAATCACTGTTTATTTTTCAACACTGGATGACCACCTCAAGGAAAAAATTTATGAAAAAATTACACTGGCCGGTCGTCTGCCTGGTAGTCCAGTGATTTGATGAAACTTCAAAACTCTCCGTTGGAGCACTTGATATCAAAGGGAGTTTTTACTCATATTTGGTGAAAAAAAAGCTATACCATCGGAGATGCCCTTACATCTCTATTTTTTGTCATTTCAATCTCACTAAAACCTAATACCCCACATGACTATTTATAATAGTCCATTCATAACAATCATAGTTTCATACAATTAGATTATAAAAATTTACACATATATTAGGTGTTTGTTTGGTTTGATTTTTTAAAAATTATTTTATATGAGTTTCCATTTATTTTTAATGAATTTTTTAATATCTTAACCAATTATTTGTACGTTTTAGATGCATCTAAAAAGTAAAATAAATTAGCTAAAATATTAAAAAATACTAAAAATGGACAAAAAATTCGAACAAAAATTTGTATGCATTTTTGTTTGGGTTTTCGTTTATTTTTATGTAAATTTTTTTAATATTTTAATTTAATTTTTTTTTTATTTTTTAGTTACATCTAATCTTGATGGTTTCACAAAATAAAAAAATTTAATTAAAATATAAAAAACAATTCAATAAAAATAAACCAAAATTCGTTTAAAAATAATTTATGAGAACTCGGTTACAGCGGTTTCATCATTTTGTGGATTGGTACTATTGTTTTGAAAATGTTAGGAACAAAGTGAAAAAAAATAATAATAATAATAAATAGATAAAGGTCAAAATACAAAAATGATGAAAACTTTAAAGGGGCAAAAGTGCAGTTTAGCTTTTCAACAGAATGGCAGATGGAAGGGCTGAAATTGCACTGACAACAGAAACCAATGCTACAGTGACTGAGGATGTATACTTTTCTTATATGTACGGAGCCGTAAGAACTTTCCCTCCTCTCATTTTTATATCATTTTTTTCATGAAATTTTGATGGATAGTTTGGAAAACAAGATGAAATTTCCTCTTTTAATGTTCATATGTTAGTTTATATAATTTTTGATTCGGTGATGCTATAAGCACTAATTAATATATCAATTATTATACTTATAACATTACTATTTCAAAATTATAATTTCACCTCTTATACAAATTATAAAGATCTAAAACTTATAAAATTATATAATATCATTTGTTAGTACACCAATTAATATATTAATTGGTGCATATAACATATTCTTATTGATTTGTACATGATTTGAATTAGAATCGACTTGAATTTATTATGTATAATGTTTTAAATACTATATAGGATTAAGATTTGGATAAAGGTATACATATCAATTAATACACTAATTAGTGTCCTAACAAATGATATGACATAATTTTATTGGTTTTGAGTATTTATAATTTTTATAATAGGTGGTGTCTATAGTTTTAAAGTTGTAATACTATAGCATGTGTTGATATACTAATTAGTATACCAATTGGTTTGTAACATCATTGTTAAGATTTTTTGGGTTAATTCTAACTTCCATGCATGAATGAAGCTTATACAATCGAAGCAATAGACAAGTACTACAATCAATGTCTGCCTCTATATAGAGTGGTGATTCATCCCATTAATTTTTGGACCACTAATAGCTCTAATGAGCTTAAAAAAAACAAACTCAAGCCAAAACATCACATCACTTTGATGGAGGCCACTGTGGCACATCGTTAGTGATGCTCTAGAGCTCCCAATTTAGTGCTCTAAAACATTATTCCTCTATATAACACTGCACTGGAAGGAGACTGGAAAGCCGCCAATGCCATCATCATACAACATCCGACAGTGGTCCGAGCTTGAATCACCGAGGGATGGGAAATAGCACTCCACATTGCCACCACAGGAAAAGACATCCATTTTGTGAAGGAACTGGTTGCCAAGATGACTTGATCGAACTTAGAAATGACCAACAGAGGAGGAAACACTACCCACTGCTTTGCTGCTGTAGATGGCACGGTGGCGATTGCGAAGGTGATGGTCGACAAAAATGACGAGCTGCCAGAGATATGAGGCGGCAATGGACTGAAACCTCTCTATATGGCTGCTCTGTCGGGGAAGAGAGAGAAATGGTTAAGTTTCTTTATGAGCGTACTAAAGTTGGAGATTGGAATTGGTGTGAGAACTTTTCCTTCCTTAGCCTTCCAATCATCTGCATCCATGTATGTATTTTTTAGCTGCTTTTGATGATAACTTTTTGTTTCTTGCTTCTTTCTCAGTTTTCAACTTTGCGCTTTCCTTGGCATTGTTGAGTGCTTCAATCAGTTCGTTTAAGCAAGTCTCTTTTGAAGCAGTCTTTGGTATCAAGTTCTCTGCAACATCACAAGGACTCATATGGGTTTCCAGCAATAATCTGTCTCTGTTTTGTAGATAATTGTAGTTGTAGTTTTAGTTTGTCATTCAAGAAAGACTTTTTAATATCTTTATTATGTGATATATTTTGGAAGATCAATGTGATATATTTTGTGTGGTAAAAATCTCATGAAATGTGCAATTAGTTAAATTCTTTGGTTTATACTCTGTTTCCAAAGTTGTAGTATGAACTTTGTAGTGCACAATAACATTTATTTTACAATAACTATAGTCACAGAGAATGCCAACTTTGGTATTTTATTTCATGTTCTTGCAGCAGCAGTAGCACCGAGGGAAAAAAAATGGTATTTTATTTCATATTCTTGCAGCAGCAGTAGCAGCAGCAGCAGCAGCAGCAGCATAGAGGGAAAAAAAAAGGTATTTTATTTCATATTCTTGCAACAGCAGCGTAGAAAAAAAAAAGGTAGTGTTTTTTGAAAATGCCATTAAATGACGTCATCGTGACGTCACACGTTAGTTCATATTCTTCAAGTAGCAACATCACAGAGAAAAAAAAAGTGGCACTTTTTGAAAAATGCCACTAAATGACATCATCGTGACGTCACACATTAGTTTGTGATGGAAGGTGAGACCGACGTTAAAGATTTTGCGACATTTTAAAAAAACACCATCTAATATTTTCAACGTCGTTTTTCAAGCATTGGAAAGCTATTGCGGTGGCCGTATCAGTGACGAAAATATTACACGTCGCTGTAAGCTTTTATGATGTTTTTCAGGCTTTTAGCGGCATTTTAAAACCGCCGCTAAAACTCGAATTCCCTGCAGTGTTGTGGTGTATGTTAAACTCAATTTGTGGTAAAATTTATTTTCATTGAATTAAACTATCAAACATGACCTCCTTAATCATATAGGCTTTGTTTGTTTTCCAGACTAGATTAGAAAGGATTATGAGTACACTGAGATAAAGTGAGAAAATTACTAGTATGATCGTGTTAGATTGGAAATCCAAGGTAAATTATATTTGTTTATGTACTAGTCTAGTGATAGTAGTTAATTGTAATTAAATTTGTGAAATTACGTAAAATCTCTCATTATATAAAATGTGACTTTGTTAATTTTATAAAATGAGGGACAAAATAGTCCTTTTACTTTCAATACTATAGGATTAGATTTCAATACCATCTATCTCATCGGATTTTTTTTTTTTTTTTTTTTGTACTAGGAAATAAAGACGCTCCATGGGTGCATCATAGTATC